AAATGAATTTCTCATTGTCTATTTTTTTTGCAGCTTAGTAGTGTTGATCAGACACCAATCAGGGCTAATTTTGGGCGATAGCGACAAAAAATTTCATAAGATCCTATTCTAGAAAACTCTCGGTAATCTAAACAAAATTGAAGCTATAGCCTTCAACTCATTGTTTTTAAGTAAAAAAATTACGTTTAAGACACTTTTTATTTTATCTCGCTATTTGAGATATTTTTCTTAATATTACATATTTGCTTGAATTTTTTTAGTAATTTAGGACCATTAGGATTTTATTTATATGGCGTTGAAAACTGATTTAACAGTCTTGATTTATTTTGAATGAATAAAACTTAGAGACGATTTCTCTTTTAATTCTCAATTGACTTGATATTCTTAGGGATAAACAAAACTCTTGAAGATTATAATATGGTATTATTGTGATAATCAACATGTTATAGTTTCTATTGTTTGATCTCGTTTCTTTATTCACGCTACCATGCATCGGTATATATCCAGAGATGCATTTGCACTGTGCTGGTATGATAATGATCTCAAACATGTCAAAGCTTTAAAGCCTTTTATTCTTCTTGTAATTTGTAATCACAAAATCAAAATCCCCGTAGATGGGAGTCCTTGTATTCCTAACAAATGTGAAACAATGAATTGGTTCAAACAATCAAGAACTCAACCAATTAGTACTTCTATGTGACCTTGGTAGGTTTGGTGGTGAGTCCAAATCCAAAGGGATACAGAGGGTCATAGTGTTTATCTCCCACATTCATCGGTAGCTGATCAACAGTCTTGAACCACGTATGAGAAAGCTTGCCTGTGAAACCATAGTCACCAAACAAAACATCAGCAACACCTTGGCCTTCAGTTCCTGGAAGCCAAGCAGCTACAAGGGCAGTAATTGTGTCAACATATGGTTGAATCATGACAGGACGGCCAGTGATGAGGACAACAACACATCTTATAGCACCACAGACATTTTTAATTGTGCTAGGGCCAGGTTCAGGAATGGTCAAATTCAAGCTGTCCCCGAATGTCTCTGCGTATGGTGGCTCTCCCACTACAACAATGGCGTAGGAGAACTTCTCTGACTTGACATATGCAGCATCAGGCTTTTCTATGTACACAACTTCTGTTTTTGGGTCAACAGTGTTTTTTATGGCAGTGAGGATTGTTGTACCTGCACATGAAAAAGTCCTTTAGTAATCTCCACCAAATGAAAAACAAGACATTTTAGGGTGGTGCATACATGATGCTTTGAACATGAAATTTAAACTTATATTGTCTCTTCAACTATTTGAATTGATTTTACACTAACCAAAGCCAAACAGGAGACATGTTTTTGACGGAAAATGTTAAAATGCGTAGTGATATTATGAAATCAAGTAACTCATAGTTGGAGGTTGAATCTGAGAAACATGTAAGTTGAGGGGGCAATGTGAATCTAAAAACTATAGTTGGAGGTGCAATATGAGAAACATGATAGTTGAAGGTTTGTGAGATAAAAGAAACAATTGAGGAGGTCAAACTGTAATTTGGCCTTGCACTAATAATACTAATATTTGTGAGTGTTGAGCTCATTGGATCATAAAACATCGAGCAATGCTATGTACACCAAAAATATGTCCCAAAATTTAGACTAAATCACTTGCAGCGGTTTGATCAGTGGGTTCCATCACTGATCCAACAGCTGCAGTTAATGTGGTGCAAGTTTTGGTACACAAATTTGGTGCACATAGAACTACCCTAAAACATTTCCTTGGCAATACCACTATTCATCATTCTGAAATATTGTGAACATCTTTGAAGATAATGAAAGGGGGTGTCTGTAAAATTACCAGCAGTGATGTTGCCACTGAGTCCTTGCCACTCAATTGTCCACCCACCACACTGATTACCAATATTGTCTGCATGACTTCCTGCAACCAGTATTTTTGATGCTTTCTTGGGAAGTGGTAACAATGGGTTGTCTGCAGATTCATCATTCTTCAGCAGCACAAGAGATTTTCTCACTGCTTCCCTTGCCAATTCTCTATGCTCCTGTTCAAGTTAAAAAAGACACAGAATGTTAGGCTTTCATCTTGTAGAAAGGTTTGTCATACCACGTGTCAGTGATTCCGTTCCACTTGGATATTTATAACTCATCTGAGGTAACAGAGTTTCAACTACTGGACTGACCTGAGCTCCTAGGTACTTGGTCATGCTATAATCAGCCAGTGGGTTTTCAAATAGACCCATAACGAACTTTACTCGTAAAATCCTTTTCACTGCATCATCAATTCGGCTCATGGGAATGAAGTTATTCTTCACCAGAGAGGTTAGACCATCAATAAATTCTGTGTAGTTGGATGGTACCATGATCTGCAACATGCCAACAACATAGAAATGAGTCCTTAGTTATAGATGGACTAGTCTTAGATATAAACTTTGAATATCATTAAGTGGGAAAGCCAATGAACTAAGAACTGACCATGTCAATGCCAGCAGTGATACCAGTTAGAATGGAATATGTGTAGTTAGCATGTGGTGGAGAAGTGATCCTGTCAATACCCTCCCAGTCTGAGATGACAAAACCCTGAAATAATACAGATTCAAAACTTGATTTTAGTTGCTTTGTTCTAGATGACAGGCATAAAATCCCAAGTTGAATATATCTGGAAAACTGGTTTTACTCTGAAACGCATAGTGTTTTTGAGGTAGCCAGTAATAAGATCACGATTAGCATGCATTTTTACTCCATTCCAGCTTGAGTATGAGATCATGACGGTTGCCACACCCTGGATGATCGAGTTGTAGTAGGCTGGCATATGGATGCTGAGCAATCCATGTCTGCTTATTACAGTATTGTTCTCATTGATACCTTCAGTGGTTCCACCATCGCCCAAAAAATGCTTGGCACAAGCTGCAACCTTTTGTCTACACCATAAATAAAGCCCAAAAACGAGGCAATCAAGAAGTGATCTAGTAAACTTAACGATAAATTTCAGGACAACGTTCGTTTACCATTACAAATGAGGATTAAAAAGTTTGAAAACATTCCAATACTTGGTAATGTTTCTTACTTAATTGTCAAATGGGACAAACAGACATTTCCAAAATGCCAAGATATGGGTGAATTAATAATGCATACTTCATTTCAATTTAATACCTCAGTTGGTAGTCCTAAAATAATTGTCATTTTGAAATACTCATGGATAGTCAAAATTTGAAGCTTGACTATGGAAGTAGGCCTATCTTTGATTTTGTTTTTTGTTTTTGGTTCTTTGTTTTTGCTTTCAATTGTTGTAATAAGTGGAAAACTATGGTCCATACCACTAAGTTATCCAACCAAAAGTCCAAAAACGTGTCTTTCTATTTCTATGACTACACACGCAAACTTATCCTATCACCCAGAAGACAGCTTGTACAGAAATCTTCTGCATCCTCAGCAATTACCCACCCACCAGATGAGACCACTAGAACTTCTGTCACACATTAAAGGTATCCAAAGTAGGTTGTTATGTCTCATAAGGTCAGTAAAGAAAAGAAGTTGATTGCTACTAAAAATGACAAGGCACATGCTGTATTTAAAGTCAACTGTCACATTAAGCAACTCATGGTTGTGAAGCAATCCTAAATCTTATAGCCAAATCTCCAAGACATCAACACTGAAACCTTCTGTAAGCTGATATTATTTTCTCTTGAAATTCAAGCTATGCAAATTAAATTTGAAGTAGAAATTAAAGCGAATTTAGTTGAATGTTACGGTGTGTGAAGATTCATCATCACACTTTCAAATATTCTGTTTTCCAATAAGCGTAAGTATGCAACTTTTGATGGACATTAGAACTTGCTATTAGTTTCTAGTAGCTGACCAAGGTAGATGATAAGGAAATCATAGCAATTGATATGCATGATTAGAAAAAGCACTTACTTTCCAGCAACAAAGGGAACACCCTTTGGAGAATTAGAAGGGATGTCTCCTTGTAATCCTGGTATGAGCTCAGTCATTGCTTGAACAATCTTATGATCTTCACTGTAACTTTCATAACACCGACCCCATCTTGGATCTCTACATACCTGTAAATGGGATCAACACAATAAAAAAAAAAGATCAGAACTTACAAAATGTTAGCAACTTCCTTGCTTAAGAGGAATTATCTTCAAATTGAATTCATTACCGCGATACAAGGTGCAAAAACATAAGGAATGCCAGTAGCTCTAACTTCAAGAGCAGTTGCAACTCCAATCTTTTTGACCAGTACAGGGTCCCTGCTCGATTTGTAAAACTAAACCCGGTAAGTCATGACAACAAATCATCAAATCATTCACTGTATCAAACACTGGTTACATTCTCATCTTCCTTATATCTCCTGATGTCTACTAAGAGTAAGGCAATACAACTTATTTTCATTTTCCCCATTTTCATCTTGAATAATGATCAAAAGATTGTGTGCATCAAAAACTGAATAACCAAAAAGTAGAACTTTGTTGTTACAAATTTGGCTCACTAGTAGTCAGGTATGCCTAATGCCATTGTGCAGGTGGTCAACAAAGCCATATACAAACAGATTAACATAACCTAACATATACACTTGCCTTGTAGCTCCAAGACCAACATTGTGAGGAAAAATTGTAGCCTTGTACACATTGTTGTGACCATGAACAGCATCAATCCCATAAATCATCGGTATCCCAAGACGGGTGGATAATGAACCCTTTTGGAAATCATTCACCATATTGATCCAGGTCTCAGCAGATGCTTGTTTAGCCGGGACACTGCCTCCACCACTCAATACACTCCCTGCTCAATAACATCAACATAGTGTATACCAATCTTTATCATCAAAGATTTTGTCATTGATAGTTTCAGAGAAAAGACATTTATGTGTTCTTACCAATGTAATACTTCTTCATGACCTCATTTGATGCCACAGTGCGGTCTATCTGAGTCATTTGGCCAATCTTTTCTTCCAAAGTCATCCGGTTCATCAGGTCCTTGATTCGAGTATTAATTGGCTGTTTAGGATCTTTGTATTTCATATACTCTGCATCTGCCATGGCTGCCCAGCAACACGTGAACAGAATACCCATCAAGAGTATAGAACTTCTACCCATTTTCTCTCCTCAGATTGCCTTCACATTGAAAAAAATTATATGATGTGACATTAGATGTTCTGTACACCTCAATCTAATCTTTTACTACCAAAAATTTCAAACTCTATAGAAGTTAATATAAATATGAAAACAAATCACACTCCTAACTCGGGAAATAAGACGGTAATAAATCAATTTGTAAATAAACACAAGAAAAACATTAGATCTGAAGAAAGAAAATGCAAAGAATGAACTCAAAAGAACAGCCCATCAGAAAATAAGATTGCTCCATTGTGACCAGAAGGTCACGGATTCAAGTCGTAGACACAAGTTCTGCTTGTAAGGGCGTACATATGATTTAACCAACCTAGACCCTGATCCCGTACAATGAGTTGGCCTTTTTTACTCGTACAATATATTTTCTGTATTCATCTACTTTGAACAGAATGTAAAAAGGAAAAAAAGGGTTGAAAATTAGATACCACGAAGAACTTTCAACAACACTGACTTGACTGAGGACTGACACCAAAAGAAAGAGTAACAATAAGTTGAAGAAGGAAGAACTTTTAACAACATTATTGATTTAAGCTAAGGACTGATCCAAAATGAAACAATCAAATAAGTTGAAGAAGACACCATGTCAGAAATCACATTGATTATGTATTGACTAGACAATCTAGAAAGAAACTAATGCAGATGCAGAATAGCTTTCATTTTAAGTGCTACTCATCCATAGAAAATTTCATAAGCTCAATGACAACTTGCAGGGGAAAATAGCTACTAGCTAAAGCAAGAAATGGAGACAGCTGTGGAACTTACAGAGAAGAAACCAAAAAAAAACAGTAGCCTCTGAAGAGAGAGAGAGAGGATTTGGAAGGGAGGGACGGATAGAGGTGATATTTATAGAAAAGTGCTTGAACTTTTTCTATTTGTTATTATCTTTTTCTATTCTGGGCAGCGATCATATGGATTTCCAAGCCTAGTATTTCTCTGCACCCTCATTCCAAGTGGGCTGGACAGATGGGTCCCGTTGAATTTGAGCAGGTCTTTTTGATTTTTAGTATTTGATTAGATCCAAAGAGTGTTGTACCTGAATATATGATCTTACATAAAATTTAAACATTTAAAAAATCAATAACACTATATTAATAATATTTTATTCTTTATTTTTTAATTATATAATATAAAATTAATTTTGACCCATTATTTTTATTAAAAAAAAATTGATAAAATTTTCTCAAAAATGCATGATCTCAAAAAAAAATATTAATATGCGTACAATATCATATATTTAAATTTCAAGGTCCTTTACTATATAGAATATAAATATAAATATGATACGATACGATGCGAAATCAAAAATAATACGATTCATTTGTACAAAGATTTAATAGATTGGATTGATGTTAGACGTGAATTAATTATTTTGTTGGTAATGTAAGAATTTATTTATTTAATATCAATAATAATTTCGTACCAAAAGATATTTTGAAATATCAAAAATTGAGCATTTATTGTGCAAAATGAACAAAGAGATAATAAAAGAGGTAAGAAGGAGAGAGAGAGACAGAGAGAGGGAGAGGGGTAGTGGAGTTGTATGACATTAATGAGTATGTTGACTGAATTGTAGGGGTACAACTTGAGTTAGGCAACCTAATTTCAATTCGAGCTTAACCTGAAAAAATTAGAGTTTGAGTAAGAATTTTTAATACTTGGATTGAGCTTGGATTAAAAAACTCCAACCCAAATTCAATTTGGGTTGAGCTCGATTTAAGGTCTTGAGTTCATGAGTTCAACCCGAACTTGATAAATTAAAAAAAAAAAAATATATATATATATATATATATATATAAAGCATTAGTACTGAGTTTTCATTTTTGTTCTATTTTTGTCTGTCTCTTTCGTTCATTTTCATTTTTATTCTAGTATTGACACTGTTAAAAATTTAGTTGAAATTATTGGTTATTAATTTATGTGAATATTATGTAATATATATACTAGGTTTAGAACAACAAGCCTATTTTGGGTTCTACCCGAATTGAACCCTTAAAGTAACCCGAAATCATTAACTCGAATTCAATCCGAGCTCGCCCGAATTAAACTCGAGCAGTGCTCGGATAGAGTTCCTCAACCCGAGGTAGGATTAGACTTAGGATTAAGGTCGAAGATTATATACTTAGGGTTGGGTTAGAGTTGACTGTCCAACCCACCCGAGTGCACCCCTATTGAATTGTATGATATTAGAGACCGGATAGAAAACATGATGGTTTTAAGTAGAAAAAAAATTTCAAAATGAATTTTGTATTATTTGATTAATTTAATAAAAATTGGATCAATTTTGATGGTTGTTGAGATTTTATAATTTGAGAATTTAATTTTTTATTTATAATATTAAATAAATTATTTTATAATTAATATTTTTTAATAATACAAATAGTAACACTAACGGAATATAAAGAGAAAAATATGAAATAAATATGAAACAACTCAAAATCACACCAAACAAAAATGATACAATACAATTTAATTGACACTGCCAAGTTGAGCAAATTGGGCGGCCCCACCCGTTCGCTTTGAAGTTCGATCCATAATCACGTGGATGAGGTCCAAGGTGGTAGTTAATACCACATATTGATAGGACCTCATGGTTGGTTGGTCCAGCAGAACAGTGGAATCCCTGATCCCTACTACCGATGGATGGTTCAGTGGAGTATCTGTTGAATTTTTTATTTTGAGATTAGAGGTGTGAGTCTTGAAGTCTATATTGAGTTTGGTTGTTAACGGTTATTTTAGTCTAATTATGTTTGCTCTCAAGAAAAGTAATAGGTGCAATCAGGGTTTCATTAGTGAAAATCTATTAGAGTGGTCTCTGGATACTATCCTTTACCACTACCCTTTTTTTAGCACATAAAAAAAAAAGAAAAATCCCTAATCCCTATCTTTATTTTTGGGTAAATATATCTCTAACTTTAATGTAATTATGTAGTTGCCTAGGGTACTCTAACTGTCTGTTTAAAATCGTAACGTAAGTTTAGGGTGCCATACGGGAGGGAAAATGAAAGTAGAAATCGTTTGAATTCTCCCACATATTCTTTCTTTTTTTAGTAGTTTTTCTAGAGATTTTTGTCATTAATGCAACATTATTGTTGCTCATTTATGAAAATTATATTTAGTATATTGAATAAATATAATTATCCATCGCTGGTCATTTATGTGGATTAATCAGATTTTAACAATTTCCATAGCTCAGAATAACATGGCGAGAAAAAGGAGGGAAGAGGTAGTAATTATACAAACAAACTATAATTTTTCCTTTCAAAATTAAATTTCAACAAATCATCGTGAGTTTTAGTAGGGAGATAAATCATATGCAACCATCTCGATCTCCATTATTTTTGGCGATGTGCAATAATTGGTTCTCTATGAAACTTTAGTGCTTGATATTTGTATACGAGAGAGAAAATTCATCGGGTCAATTTTGCATTTTCAATAGAAGTTTTATTTTAGAGTAATGTTAGATGGACTTAAAAATTATACTTGATAATTTTAACTATTAAATAGATAGTGGATCCTGAAATTCACAGTAAAATCAATTGTTATAATTATTAAGTTTATTTTTTAAGTTTATTTTTTAAATTCATTTAGAATTGCTTCTTATTTTATATCGGTGGAAAAGGCATTGCCACCTGTACGGTGTTATTTCTATCGATGATGTTTTCAGATTTATACAGAGGATCATATGCATCACCCGAAATGCGGCACAATTTGTGGCACGTGGAGACGAAAGAATAAATTACAGCCTCAACGGCACTATTTCTGACTTCAATTCCTCCAGAGCTCGAGGAAAAACAAAACTTGGCCTGCCTGCTAATGGAGGTTTGAATATCTAGAAAGTATTAGGGATGCATTATAAAATTAGATTTTTTGAATTCGAATTTTGAGTTTGATGGGTATGAGCCGTTTGTATTTCTTATTTGTATGTCAGGTCATTTTTAAATTCATGTCATAAAATTTGTATCAAGTTCGAGTTGTGTCATCGTGTTGAATTAAAAATTTTCACCCTTAACTAATATGGAAAAAATATATTTTTTTAATTTTTAATTTTTAAAATTTTAATATATATATATATATACATATTTTATCATTATATTTTTACATAAAATTAATATATACATAATATATGTATATATAAATATATATATAAACAAATAAGATATATCGTAACATAAATAATTAAATTTCTATCTACTTTCCTTCTAATTTTGGAGGTATTGATTTTGGTGAGTTGAAAAAAAAATTAATCCATCCACTTTTTCTTCCTTTATATTTTTCTTCTTTACCAAGTATGATGTTCTATCAACCTTAGTTTTGACGTAGATGACCGACCAATTTTTAACTGAACTGAAGAGAGGATTAATCGAAATTCGTATATACCGGCTGAACGTCCTTGACCATTGAACTAAAATATATATATATATATATATATATATATATATATATATATATATATATATATATTGAAAGTATTTATATTTCATTGGCAAGGACCTAAAGTTAATGAGAAAAAAGATACAATTTACAGAATTTCGGCTTAATGAGAATCGAATAGACAAGATTTGATCACAAAACACTTGTTAATCATATAATTGAGGTGTGATTAACAAGTGCCACAAAGATAATGTAATTATCGTAAACTTTGGTGACCTGATGTTCAAAGATTCCACCCAATTTCAAAGGATTCGCAGGCCACTTGCTACTCAGCACATAACTTTGCCTACCTTACCCCTCCTTTCATTATGCCATTATCAAATCACGAGTAACTCTAGATCTGATTACCCATAACTAAAAAGGAACGATTATCCTTATGACTAAATAAAGACCAATTTACTTATTTCTTGAGCGATAGTTCCACGGTCCTAGCCAGGAAAATTGTCCACCAAGCTCATCGATGAAAACTTACACAATTATCAATAAGAATATTAATTTCGAAATTTGTGACAAAATTGAGTGGTTTTTAGTTTTTTTTAATTTAAAAAAGTCAATTTAAGCTACAAAATTGAGATCAACAAATCTTGTGATCTATGCACCCATTTAATTAGTGGATAGTTGAAGAGTGTTTCGGCATTAAATGACAAAGTTTTGTTTATGCAATGCACGTTTTATGTGACCGTTACAATGAACCAGTCATACACTCCTTTAAATTAGTGTTGGTTTAATTTTTAAATATTCTAGTAAAAATATTATATAATTACTTTGAGTAAACTTCACTTTTGTCCCTATTATTATCCACATTTTGCTTTTCTTGCCTGAATATTTTTCAATGACCCCTTCTATTTAGGTTGACTGCTGATTAGGACAAGATACGGCCAGAGTTAATTAATTTTAAAAACACAAGTTGCATGTTTGAATATAAATTAGGACACAATACGGCCGATTAATTTTATTTTAATTAGGACCCTAGTTTTATTTTTAATGTCGCCATAGGAATATGACTGATAATTAGAGCTAAATTTTGTGAGCTTTAGCTGAGTCTGTCAAGCCTAAAAATTTGTTTAGCCTAAAAATTTGTTTAGAACATGAGTAGAGCCGAAAACAAATTGAACTTGATTTGAGTTCATATAACTCGATTATTTTACATATAAATGAGTCGAGTTGAGTCTAAGAGTAACGCGGCTTGATTATTAGCCATACATAGGAAGACTTCATGAATTACTTAGTCTTTCTCCATAAAGAACAACCCTTGAATTAATGTTATAACTTATCAAATACTAGTCATAATCGGTGTTTGAAGACACGATGAAATATAAAATTCGAGTGTCTAAAAAATCGATTCCACTATATTAAATGATAATTTTTCATTCCTTCATTTATTTAATTATATCATTTAAAATTTATTTTTACCCATTAATTTTAAAAAATATCGACAAAATATGTAATTCAACAAATTTTCTCAACATATGTACATTATTCTGTATGATAATGACTAAAATAAAAATTATGTTAAACTACAAAATAATTAAATATGTGATAAAAATAAGTAATAAAATAATTTTAAGGAAAAAATATGTATGAAATAAAGTTTTAAACACTTAACCGTTTTATTATATAAATTAAAAATATTTGTTGGTAACGCGGGATTTTTGTATTTTGTTTTCCTATTTTATGTTTGATTGTTGAGATGGCCACCATCAATATGGCCACAAAGACTAGAGGTAGGGAGGGTCCATCCAATAGGATAAGCGACAATGAAAGAGAGTGGTGACCTAAACATCTTATTTTTAGCAAATATATTTTCACTTCCTCTAGACGACGGAAATGCTCTTTGAGGCCGCTTCCTCTAAATTTAACTCATGCAGGTAGAGAGATGGTTTTGCGTATCGACCACGGGTCCAAATAAACTCAATTGGTGGGGTATTATATGTATAACAATTTCAATTTTATACGAACATAACACAAATTCAACAGCATACGAATCTAAAAATGATAAGAGCAATTAATATGAATAATAATAATTTAGTTGAGTCTAAGCAATAACTAAAAAATTTCATGAGGAACTCTAAGAAGTAACTCAAGTAGTAACAAGTAACAAAAATGAGTTATAAATTCAAACATTATGAATTTGAATCTTGATAACCCAATAGTGATGGGTCATGAGGGATTTATCGCTCATAAATAAATATCTTAGTCTCGATATGGATGATCTACCACTGATCAAACTGAGAAAGAAATTAATTGAGATACGTGTAAGATTACCTAGACACCCTTAATCATTGAATTAAAAAAAAATTTATAAGAAAAAAATTCCTTATAATGTAACCTCAAAAGAATTATTAAATTTTAAATTTAAAATATCTAAATTTACAATTCATCACTATTTCAATTGAGCTACTCTTTAGGGATCACTCATCATTACTAAGAGGGACCTCTAAAAAAAGTTAAGTACTATATCGAAGTTTATTAGGGGTCGTTTATGTTTTTTTGATGTAAAATAATAAAGCAAAGTAATAAAACAAGGAAATTTTACCTATGTCAAACTTTTATTAGCTGTCACCGGAGAACAACTGATCTTTGTATCAATTGGCGGACATGAGATCTATGTTAGTTTACGGAAAATATCATGAAATCCAAATTCGCATTTTAAACGAAGAAATCGTTAGATCAATGAATTTCATTAATTTTTTTAAATAGGATTAACTGATTCACTGATCCCTCTTCATTTATGATGCAAATTTGGATTATAGATTTGCGTTATATAGCATTGTTCTCTCTCTCTCTCTCTCTCTCTATATATATATATATATATATATATGTCAAGTTTTTATTATACAAAAAATGAAGGTATGGTATCAAAAATATTAATATTATCAGCGAAAGATTACCGAATTTTGTATAAGGCAGAATTGGCAATTCATGTGTAGATCAAATTTTGATTTGAATATGAAATCAATTAGTTTATGCTAAAAGATTGCATCTATGAAAATCTCAAATAAAAAGAGCAACGAAGTGGAAGTGTCTTAATATTTTACGAATGAATTCTAATCTATTGAATCAGATTCTACAAATTTCAATTTATACATAGTTTATTTCGATTCTGTTGTGATCCGATCCGAATTATATACGTGAATCGTGCTTACCTTGTTCATTCCACAAGCCTTGTTACTCCAGGGTCAAACTTACTAGCTGGAAATGGGGGCCTCAACAAGGGATCAAAGACAAGTCATGTTACTAACACAATTATTGAATCCTAAAACAATTCACATAGTATTAGACTAGAAGTTTAAATATATAAGAAAACTAATTTTCTTCTTAAAGAAAAGAGCTAAAGGGATTATTCGTGTTTAATACTAATTTAACTTATTTATAATTTGTGCTCCTTACTTATGTTATTTTCAAATTCGGTGTTGTCTTGAATTCGTGATGCATTTGTATTAAATAATAAAATCAATACCAAGAAAATTGACGAGAGGTGAGGCGAAGGCCAGAGTTGGCCCAATAGTATCCCAAATAAAGCTTGGGGTTAAGTTTTTAGAAGACCTCTTAATTTTTGGAATTTAATTAGCCCACATAAAAAAAATAAATTTATGAAAATTTTAATCTCTACAAAAAGTTCCCAAAAAATTTAACCACAATAAAAAAAAAAATAATTTCAATAATTTGGATGCACGATCCAATCTATGACATTAAAAACTCAAAAATTACAAAATTAAAAATAAATTAAAAAATTACTCAAAAAGTCAAAAATCAACTCATATTTACCCCCTCTCTCCTTGATAAAAAAAAAATAGAAACAAAAGCTAAAATTAAAAGAAAATGCTATTTGAATTTAATTTGGAGATCTAATGATCTATAATCATTGAATTAGTATTGAGCTCCATCTATCATTGAAATTCATTACTAATCCAATGGTTACATTGAAACCACATTATCAAGTTCTCCATTAGATTTTCAAATTAGGTGTCTATAATATTGCTTAAAATTAAACTCTTTCTCTTGACAACACAATTAAGAACTCTCCCTTTCATTTTCTCTCTACGGTCGCACATCCTCATCTCTCATAAAAAAATTAAATATAAAGTTTTTTTTTAAAAATTAATATTAAAAACAAAGAGGCCTCATTTAGTGTTATCACTTTAGGCCTCAAAGCGAATGTGTAATACTAATTATCACCGATCAAAATCCTAGTGAATGTGTATCATTATATACAAACAAATGTGAAACAATGTAATTGTTCACAAAATCTAAAACTCCACTACCTAGTAATTCTATTTGGCCTTGTTAGGTGTGGTGGTGAGTCCAAATCCAAATGGATACAGAGGGTCATAGTGTCTGTCCCCAACATTCATTGGAAGCTGATCAACAGTCTTGAACCACGTCCGAGGAAGCTTGCCAGTAAAACCATAGTCCCCAAACAAAACATCAGCGACACCTTGCCCTTCAGTTCCCGGAAGCCAAGCAGCCACCAGGGCATCAATTGTATCAACATAAGGTTGAATCACGACGGGCCGGCCCGTGATCAGGACAACAACACATTTGACGGCACCACAGACGTTTGTAATGGTGCTCGGGCCAGGTTCGGGAATCGTCAAATTCAAGCTGTCTCCGAATGTTTCTGTATATGGGGGCTCTCCCACTACAACAATGGCGTAGGAGAAGTTCTTGGATTTGACATATTCAGCATCAGGGTTGTGCTTGAGCACAATTTTCGTTTTCGGGTCAACTGTGTTCCTTATGGCATCGAGGATTGTGGTACCTATACATGAAAGTCTTTTAGTTATCTCCAATCAGTTAAAGATAAAGAAGATACACAAAAATGTAGGATGGATTCAGTATTATATTCATAGTTGTTGATGATACCACCATCAAAAAATAGGTTTTTATTCATCACAGCTCGATCTCAAACGACAAGACTTCATCAGTGCCATAGATGGGATGACCAGCAAACCCACTTCCAACAGGGAAAGGTGCACTGACTGACCACCCGGCTCTAGCACAGCAGCTTGGGGTATGAGGAGCTCAACACCTACTGGAATAATGTCAACCTACTTCTAGAAGGTATCGTCACGTCACACTTAGAGAATGTAATCTGTAATTGTCTCAATATTTTTTCTACAAAATCCTAATAAAGTTGGAGACCATGTGATGATGACGGAAGGACCTCCCTACCCGTGGCTGTGGGTATATAAACACCAATGCCCTCTCCATGTAGGGGCATCGAACACATTGTAAACCTTTATTTTTCTCGAAGTAATAGAATCATCCCTAAGGTGCAAGTGACTCTATCAGAGTGGATTAACCAATTTTCCTAGCTAGTGAACCATTGCAATATGTGTGTGCATGTTCTATTATCTTTCATTCACGCTCGTACTTATACCATCACCCACAAACTTAAGCTCTTCAGCTTAAGCACTACTATCTGGCACTTCAAGTTCGCTTGATCATCAGTTGTAGTATGTTATGGAATGGTTACCTGCTAAATGACGGAAGTTAAACATTACTAAAGATTCAGGTCATATTGTGACATTGTAGAACAGTTTCAGCTGATTCAATGACGACAAGGGCACAAACAACTTGGGTTTTTGAAGAAAAAAGAAAGGGAAGATTGTTTTATTTACCGACTGTGATGTTGCCACTATGTCCCTGCCACTCAATTGTCCATCCACCACACTGATAGCCAATATCATTCGAATGGCTTCCTGCAACAAGTATTTTTGAGGCCTTCTTGGGAAGGGGGAGCAATGGCTCATCTGCAGACTCACCATTTTTTAGCAGCACAAGAGATTTTCTCACTGCTTCTCTTGCCAGTTCTCTGTGCTCCTGTTCCAGAGTGTAACAAGTAGAGAACTCTATTTAATGGGAAAATTTAAACTTTGACCTCTTCAATTTTGATACTTTTCTCACATTGTCCCTCAAACTATCATGTTTCGAAGGATGAAAATTTCGGTTCAAAAAGGTCGGAAATGTCCGAAATATTTTCGTTTCTAAGGAAACTAAAACGAATCAGTGATGAAATTAAAAATCTAATTTTTCGAGGTCTTCTATAATATTTTTTTATATTTCAGTGCATTTAAACAATTATTTTAAAATATTTCAAGATATTTTGGTATATTTTAATCAATATTTTTAAAAAATAATTCCTAACTTTTTTTTTATCAGTCTATTTTTGACAATGGTCAAAACATTTTTTAAACACGTAGAAATATTTTCGTTTCTTAGCTGACCAAAACAATATACGGAAACAAAATTTTGATTTGCATGTTTCATGCATTGCACCATCACCTAGGCCACTAAGTGATGTCCGTTACAAATTTGACCATAAGTTGTTTCACTTTGCCCACGAACTATGTGATTTTATTTTCACTTTTTTCAAGGCACTTTGATATCTTCTGGCCGGAAGACGGACGTTTGCAATGGGGCAATATGAAGTCAAGGGCAATGTGAGAAATTCGACAGTTCTAAAGGTATAGTGGAATCAAAAGCACATAGTCATAGTTAAGGGGTCAAAGCATACTTTATCCTTAAGTATTCAGAACAGAGGTCCAAAAGAATGCAGTTTATGAAGGTAGCTATTAAACTGACCTGACTTCCTATGTACTTGGCCATGCTAAGATCTGCCAATGGGTTCTCAAAAAGACCCATAACAAACTTCACCCGTAAAATCCTTTTCACTGCATCGTCAATTCGGGTCATTGGAATGTATTTATTCTTTACCAGAGAAGTAAGATCATTGATAAATTCTTTGTAGCGGAGTGGCACCATGATCTGCAGCAAGGCAACAATTAATCAGCACTTGGTTAAAGATTGAAGAGTTAAAATTGTAGAACATGTTCACGCGTGAAAGGTGATGGACTAAGAACTACTGACCATGTCAATGCCAGCAGTGATACCAGTTAGAATGGAATATGTGTAATTAGCAAATGGTGGAGAAGTGATCAAATCAATACCTTCCCAATCTGAGATGACAAACCCCTGACACAATTCATAACAAAGTGTCAAATCTTCGTTTTTTTTAGTTCATTTGTTTGAGATGACAGATTCAAAATCCTAGTTAAACATGTTTGAAAAACGGGTTTTACTCTGAAACGTAGAGTGTTCTTAAGATAGTCAGTGATAAGATCGCGATTAGCGTGCATTTTAATTCCATTCCAGCTCGAGTAGGAGACCATGACTGTTGCCACGCCCTTGATGATTGAGTCGCGGTAGGGTGGCATATGGATGCTGAGAAGTCCATGCCTGCTTATCACTGTATTGTTCATATTGATGCCTTCAGTTGTACCACCATCCCCCACATAGTGCTTGGCACAGGCCACAACCTTTTTCCTATGCAAGAATGAAACACCAAAATTGAATCAATCAAGAGGTGATTCAGGTAATGTTTATCATAAATGATCGAAAACTTCATGTTAATTACGATTACAGTATGTATGCAAATGAAAATAACTAGCTTGTGTCAGACGTATTCTTTTTAAAATTCAAAATCAGAATACCATAGCAAGCAGTCCTAAGGATAATTGCAAAAAAACTTACTTTCCACCAACAAAGGGAACACCCTTTACAGAATTAGCAGGGATATCTCCCTGTAATCCCGGTATGACCTCAGTCATTGCTCGGACAATGTTGGGATCTTCGCTGTAGCTTTCATAACACCGACCCCATCTTGGATCTCTACATACCTGTTAACAGAATTAGCATAAGGAAAAAAAGAACATAACTCACAAGAAGTTAGCAATTTCTTGGGAAACAGCCGAGTATATTGGAATTGAATTCATTACCGCGATACAAGGTGCAAAAACATAAGAAATTCCTGTAGCTCTAACTTCAAGAGCAGTTGCAGCTCCAATTTTTTTGACCAGTACAGAGTCTCTGCTCAATTTATTAACAGAAAAAAAAAGAAGCAATAAACCTGAGAATTCATCAAATCATCGTATATACCAATCAATTGTGTCCTAATCTTCGAAAAGTATTCTGCAATAATTATGCATCTATTGATATAATGCCCACAGAAAACTGAACTGAAATAGGGAACTTGTTTGATTTTAGCTCACTGATGCCTAGTGACACAAATGATTGAGCAGGTGGTTTACAAAGCCATATGGAAACATATCACAGCATGGTTGCATATATACTTGCCTTGTAGCTCCAAGACCAATATTGTGAGGGAAAATCGTTGCCTTGTACACTGTGTTGTGACCATGAACAGCATCAATCCCATAAATCATCGGTATCCCAAGACGGGTGGATAAGGAACCCTTTTGGAAATCATTCACCATATTGATCCAGGTCTCAGCAGAAGCCTTTTTAGCCGGAGCACTGCCTCCACCACTCAATACACTCCCTGCTCAATATCGTAAATACATAAAATCTAAAACATAGTATACACATCTTTATAATTTCACACGAAGAAACATTATGATGATGTTACCAATGTAATACTTCTTCATGACCTCAGCTGAAGCCACAGAGAGTTCTATCTGTGTCATTTGGCCAATTTTTTCCTCCAGAGTCATCCGATTCATCAGGTCCTTGATTCGAACACTTAGTGACTGTTTTGAATCTTTATACTTCACATATTCTGTTTCTACCATGGCTGCCCAGCAACACATTATCAGAATCCCCATCAAGAGTTTAGAATTTGGAGCCATTTTCTGTCACCTGATCACCTTCACATTTGAAAAAAAATTCATATGATGTTGCGTTAGATGGAGCAGATTTCAGAAAGTTCCAAGCTGCAGTTGTTAGTAACAATACACTGACTCCATCCAAGGAATGGTCCTAAGTGATGAATCACATAAGTTGAAAAGAGACTATAGCAGAAGCCACATTGATATGCTCTCACTAAACAACCAAGATGAATATTGAAAGACTTTGGAACTCATATTCTGGGCAACTAAACAATAGAAAATTTCATAAGTTCAATGACAACTGGCTATGGAATATAGCAACCTAAAGAAATGGAGCGAGCTAAGGAACTTACACAAAGAAACCAGAGAGGGAGGGGGGGGGGGGGAGAGATTTACACTACAATTTGGGGAAGTGAGGTTTTGGAAGAGGCAGGAAAAGGTGCTATTTATAGTGAGGAAGGATCAGAGCATGACACGTGGACTCAAAAAGTGAAATATCGAGACGATTGATCGCCCTCAAAAAAAAGTATCTAGAAGAATATGCCTAGCAGACTAAAGAGCATCTCGGGACAAATAATTAAAGCTTGGCAAGGATGTGGACCCACCATGATGCTACGAGTTACAGAGAATGATTATTTCTACGGATAGGTCATGTCGGATTTGTACTTCAAATTTTAGGAAATTCGGATAAAGGGATAACCCTTAATGATGTGGATTTAATATTAGATGTCAACGAAATGAGTGTTCGGTACATATCAATGAATATTTTTTGAAATTATTAAATGTTAAGGCGATGTGTATTGAGTGCTCGACATCTCGAATAGGATAATCATTGCTGGACTAGACCCCGAGGAGTTGTCGGCCTCCTAAGTCTAGTAATTGCACAGTTTAAGAAAAAGATAATTCACTAATGATTATTTCTATGAAGAGTCTCTTGGCAGGCTTGATGGAACCCCTACATTGTCACCTTATCCTCTTAGAATCTATAAATAGCCCAATGAGTTGGGTTTATGCATTCACAAGAAACCCAGCACAGTAAAAATCTAATCCTCCCTTTTAACTCCTACTAACTTATGCATTATGCATTGGAGGGGATAAGTTGGACAAATCTCCAACCCTCTTTTAACATTGTTCTCTGTTGTTGCATGTCACTCACACAACTCTTGCTGGGGTGCCGCTATTAAAAATTATTGCAGGAATTCATCTGTGCATATAAAATTATTCTTTCACTTTTGTCTTTGTGTCTCATTTTTTCTAATTTGCGATATTATTATTGACACCACCTGAACATAATAACGTAAAAATCACATAACATATGAAAATAAAACATGGTAGAAAACCAGTTTGGTTCTTCTCCAGGTTCTCAAGAATAGAAATTTCTCCAATTCTCTTTATGTGGCCAGGATTTATGTCCATCCATAAAATGTAATTCATTTTAATTATTCAAACTAAATTTAATGCATTGATATGGACATATCGCATCCATTCAAAACAAAATTGGATCATCTCTTAATTGTTAAAAAAATTGGGGGCTGAGTTTAAAAAAACCATAAAAGTAAAGATAAATGTGAAATTTTTGAAATAAGAAGCAGAAATGGGTGTTTAATATTCAAAACTTAGAGATGTTCAAACTATTTTTCAAATATCATGGGGTATCATATTATCTAATTAGATTGTTCTATTTTCTACTTTGGTTATTTATAATATAAAATAGAATAGACTTCAATTAGTCCATCTGACAATCTGAAATACACTTATCTAACGAGTACCAATATCTCTCTTAAAATTATTCACATTATTCCTAGTTATTGGTAAAAATAAAGGTGGTTTTTTTTTTTTTTTTGATATCCCAACTATCTTAGTGAATCTATTTGACTATTGCAGAACTTTAGGCAAAGCCACCACTCTATACAAAGAGATAAATCTAAAGATAATGACCTCAAACGGTGTACACACTAGTGAAATATTCGAACTCTTGATCTATACCTCGTTTGATTACTACTAAACTAACCCCCTGTGTGATGAGGATGATTACTTTTTGATCCTTAGTGATCAAATGTATTTCTAATTTAAGTAGGATCTATTGTATACAAGTAAGTTTTTCACTAATTAATGTTGAATGATATATCAAGTGAAATGAAAAGAAAGTATACCGGAGATGATTTGAATTCCTCATTTAGTGGGCCGGACTCTTAATTTTACATAGCTAGTGAGGTCAACAGAAAAGGAACCCTTAACTTAGATGTCATGCCTATATATTATTATATAAAAAATTTGGAGTGACATTGTTGGTTTTATAGATACGCATGCTGCTAGTAAATAAATTTATAATATTTTTTTATAGAAATTATGAATTATATATATAATTAAATTAAATAATAAATTAAATGCTGAATAATTAATACATATTTTAATTATTGTTAAATTTAATTATTAATTTATTCTATATGTTTTTGAGTACTTAATCTATCATTTATTTAGGTATCTCTTTAATCTTTTTAAACATTTGCACATCTAATTATATTATAAAATTATTAATTTTTATTTTGTTAAATAGATAGATTAAATCGCATATAATATCTATATAATAGACTACCTAACTATTTGAATTTTTATCCCCTACAAATTTTTTTCCAAAAATATAACATCACTTATTTTCATCATATGTTCAATTATTTAATATTTAATTAATTTATATTTTAACATAATTTTTATTTTAGATACTATCCATATAAAATAATATATATATATTAAGAAAATTTTGTTGAATTACATATTTTGAGAAAATTTTGTAGATATTTTAAAGAAATAATGGATAAAAATAAATTTTAAATGATGTAATCAAAGAAATGAATGAAAAAATTGTTATTTAATATAGTCGGATCGATTTTTTGAGTGTTCGAATTTTATGTTCCATCATACCTATAGAGTTATGACTAATATTATTATACTACTGAATATCAAAAAATAAAATATAACATATATTTGACCGTAAAATTCGATCTGGTAACTATATGTGTATAATAATTTAACATACATATGACATTTTTTTAACTCATGAAAAAAGTGGTGGGGGCAAAGAAGAGCGGACAAATGCACCTAGAGACCACCTCAATAGGTCCTCACTGGTGGAATTATGAGGCCACTAACTTCATATGGATATAAAAAATTGTATGTAACTGTGCTACTAATAAATGTGTTCAAAACAATTTAGAAGTTTTCATAAAAGAGTTCAAAACAAGTTGAAATTCAAATATGAATAAAAAATAAAAATTAGATGAAATAATATAGACAATTATAATATATTATACTAATTAGGGATAAAATAAAAAATCAATTTTTTTTTTTACAGATATTGACATTTGGAAGTAACTAATAATGCACACGTGTATTGCACGTGAAAAAATTTAGATCATATTTTTTAGAAATATGAGGTGTATGAAGTTGACATAATAAAAGACTGTTAATATATGTATTCAATGGCTTCTTGAATCCAATAAGAATTTCTGGCATTACAACATAAAACTAAGAAAACTCTTAAATATTATTTACTAATCTAAAACTATTCCACCACCACATGAATTCAAGAAGTCTAATAACAAAACTAATTCTATTCATAATATAATAACTCGTAAAACACTACAAGTCTACAAATAATAAACAATTAAATATTATGAGATTAGTTTAACAGATTAAGCTCTTCATTCAATGAAAAATACTTTTTTGTTTTGCATTCATTATCACTTTGATGGGAACACCAATTCAATTGAACACAAATTAATTTTAGTTTCAATTACAAAAATTGTTGTAAAGTAAATAGAGCATTTATGCAATAGCCATACCCAAATAGATGGAAAATAAAGTAAAAAGAAATATCATACTAGCAATAGACATGTTCTGACTGAGAAAAAAAAAGGTCACAGGTTGACAACATCAAGCACCGTCGACCTTGCAGTGATATAAGACTAAAAATGTTAATAAAGTTACTAGAAAAATATAGGTCTATCTTCCTATATCTACATATATATATTTCTAATCAAGTTATTCAAAATATAATGGAAGTCTAATATATATATATATATATATATATATATATATATATATATATATAAAGGTTTTGCTCTTTACTTTTCTAATGAATTTTCGATAGTTGTATTTATCACATAAAAAATAGGAATTTTTTTTTCACATCATATTAGAATTCTAGTTGAATTTGTCAAATTGAATGGAAAAGAAGAATGTACTGGCAAGTCATAGTGATAAACTTTATCTAGTAAAAATTTTGAAAGTCATAGAGATAAATTTTATCTAACTAATATATAGTGATAAAATTTATTCAGCAAAAATTTTGGAATATTAGTGATAAAGGTTATCCAGCAAAAAAATTGGAAGTCATAAAGATAAATTTTATCTAGTTAATATTTTGTGAGCATTGTCTTTAGTGTAATAATTAATGGTGAAATAGGAAAAATAAAGTTGTCAAAAATTTTGGAATGTTAGTGATAAAGTTTATCCAGCAAAAAATTTGGCAGTCATAAAGATAATATATAGTGATAAAATTTATCTTGCAAAAATTTTAGAATATTAGTGATAAAGTTATCTAGCAAAAAATTTAGAAATCATAGAGATAAAGTTTATCTAGTTAATATTTTGTGAGCACAATTATCTTTAATGTAATAATTTGGGGTAAAATAGAAAAAATAAAGTTGTTCAAAATATTTTAAAAGTCTAATGGGTATGAAAAAAAGAAAATTTTTTGAGTTTAATTCTTTACTCTTATAATCTTTTATTATATAATAATGAATAATGAATTTTCGATGGTTGTGTAATATCTTTAAAAATAACAATTTTTTTTTTCACATCATATTAGAATTATAATTAAATTTATCGAATTAAATGGGAAAAAAAAATGTATTGGCAAGTCATGGTGGAGATCTAACTAATATATAGTGATAAAATTTATCTTGCAAAAATTTTAAAATATTAGTGATAAAGTTTATCCAGCAAAAAATTTGGAAGTCATAGAGATAAAATTTATCTAGTTAAAGTTTATCTAGCTAATTTTATCTAACTAATATATAGTGATAAAATT